TAATCGTTCAAATATTGACATTGATTGTTTTAACATTTCTGGGGCAATCTTGGACCGCAAAAAAAACTGTCAAGACAATGGTACTATGTTAGAAATTTGAAAAATTCACACATCAAATGATGAGAAATATATAATGTTACCTTCTGTTTTTAATATAAGACTTTGTTTGATTTTTATTTTGATCTTAAATATAAGACCACAATCCACTTTGTCTCTCATATTTATACTTTTTTTTCCAAAGTAATCATTTTAACAATGATAGTTTTACCCACTACACTTGATTAGTAAGGATATTTTAGGAAAGACAACACTTATTTAAAACAAATAACTAACTCAACTTAATTTTTTAATATCTTCAAATTAGTCAACTGGCTCTTATAATTAAGACCAGACGTAGTAATTGCAGAGAAAAACATATGCTGGAATAAATTGATTAAACCGATTTAATAATATATGCCTTTTTTTTTTGGACTCAAAATAATATATGCCTTTAGTCCACTATATATTCTTAATTTCTCATCCCATACGTTGTTTGGTTAGACTTTTTCCCAGACCTGGTGGAGTTCACATCACAATGTCACAACATGGCAATCCAATTCAATGGGCACGCGTTCGTCCCTAATTCATTGTTGTGATCACAACTAAACGCTACTCTAAGTTGGTTTGTCTATTTCGTTGCCTAAATCAAAATGGTCTATTTTGGTTGGCAAAAAACAAAGGTCTATATGAAAGTGATAAATAACCAATATTTAGTTTTTCTATTTAGTTATTTATTTATTGTGAGTATGCATTTTTACATAATTCAAACTTAACCCAATCATCGATGTCGTGTTACTATAAATAAATAAAAAAGTCAAATATATAATATTTAGTAGCCACAAACGTAAGATGCTGATGTAATTTAACCTTTATTTTAAGTGTAACTTTGCTGGGGAAAAAAAATAATTCTCCCTTTTTGTTTTTATCATAAGAACCTCTTATATATCTTTTCTATGCACATAAAAAGAAACACAAAATAACAGAACAAAAGGACCTTATGGCTTTTAACTTTAAGCTGAATTCAAAAGATAACAAATTTTTTTCCCAAAACATATGAATACACAATTTTAACATTTATTTATTATTTTGTTGGTTTTTTTCATAGGTTATACTCACTCAGTTCCTTTTTATAAGAAATATTTGACCAAATTAAGCAGATAAAAAGTTCGTTTAAATTGGTTAAAAGATAATAAATATGTAAAAATTATAAATTTTTCTTAAAAATATGCTTGAGAGTATAAGAGAGAGAGAAAAATATTAAAGTGAAGAGAGCTATGAAAAAAAAAAAGAGATTAAGGAATAAATGATGCTTTAGGAAATGGGGGTAATAGATATATTAAATATTAAAATAAGTAATTAATAAAGGTAAAATAGGAAACTAGTCAAGAAAATTTGAGACATCTTGCAAATGTTTCTTATAAATAGGAATAAGATAAAAAAAATGGTAGCTGTTTTTTTATTAAAAGGAATGAGGAAATAATATATTACATATGAATAAAGTTAAGAAATTGTTAAATTTTAAGACAGAGTTAATGAAGTTTAAATTTTTTTTATCTATGTAAAACTTCTTAAAAATAACTTATAAATAGGGTCATATAAGTATATTTAGTACTAAATTCAACTATCAAATTAGTTGCTATTTTAGATATCAAAGAGAAAACTACCTTTTGTCCTAAATATAAGATCTGCTTTGATATACTAGAAAAAAAACACTTAAAAAGTATTGTTACATAAGTTAAGAGAAAATTCTTTTCATACTAAAAATACTTTTAAAAATAAAAAATTTAATCCAAACACTTTAGTTAAATCTTCATACGAAAAACCAAAGCACAAGGACATTTTACTAGTTTTTTTTTTTTTGCTTTTTTTAGTGGTATAGAGCCAGAAAAACAAGCCAAGCTCATCACCTCGGCCCGTTTAGACTCAAAAATTATGAGGGTCGTGCTTAAAATTTTTTTCCTTAAATAAAAAAATGTTTAAAAGGACTATCCCTGCAAGATCGAGGGTCGTCCTATTTAGACCCTTTTATATTTTTTTATAATTTTTTTATAATTCTAATATTATTAATTTCTTACATTGTTAATAATATTTTGAATGTTTAATTATTATTATCATTTTAAAATTAAATTTCATAAAATGGTTTGATTTATTTGGTTTTAGACAATAATTTATCTAATTAAATTTTAAAAAATGGGTTAATTTGGATTTTAATAATGATTTGATTTATACTATATTTGTTGATATTTTTAAACCATATATATTTAATAAGAAAGTATTTTTATACTTATATAACTTGTCACTCTATAATTTGAATTGGAAATTTATGAGTTTCAACAACAATACTTCTCAAACTAAAGTAAAATAATAGCTAGGCTACAAACTTTAAAAGTGAAATTCTTATAAAGAAGAAAAACTTGATATTTTTACTACAAAAAAAAAACAATTGATTATAGTGATAATGAAGTTTCAAAAAATTAATGATATTATTTATCTATTGCATATTTGCACTATTGATGAAACTTTTGGATTATTGATTGATGTTTTAGATATTCTTAGATGTTAATAGATATTTAGATATGTGATATTTTGTATTTGAGATTTTATTTTATTTATATTTATGTCTTTTATTAATATTTTTACTGGTTTTTTTTAATTTTTTGATAAAGAATGTAAGAAATAAGAAAAATAGTATTTTTTTTAAGCGGGCTAAAAGCCCACAGGTCAACCCTGAGTCCATTAACTTAAGGGCTAAACCTAGCAAATTAGAGCCCATTAAGCCCGTTAGCCCTGCAAGCTCGGCTCTGAAGGAATAGGGTCAGCCTGTATTTCCACCTCTAGATGACAAGGACTGAGGACACACAATGCCCATGCATGGGTCCGTTTATATAATACTCTTCCGACTTAATTAATTAATTTAAATAAATTAAGGATACTTGTTAAATTTATTAATATAATATATTCTTATGAAATATGGTAAGAAAATCTCTATTTGAAAACTTAATTGCTTAAAAAGATCTAAATTTGAGCCCATACAACTATAATCTATGAGTCCAACTTTTTTTTTTTGCTGTGTACAATATATCTTTCATTTGTACAAATGACTTTTGTATTGATAATTATTGTATAGTGTTAATGACTTGTTGCACACAGTAGAAGAAAGGTTACACTCACAGATTTTAATTGCACTTGGAAGTGTTTAGATGGAAACCAAACCATGATTTTAAAAGTAATTTTATGATATATGAAGTAAATATATAGAGAAGTTTATCTTGATTTGTAAAAGAAAAACTTTATAAAAGCACTTTTAGGATGTTCCAGACACCCCCTTATTCAAATTTATGCCTTTTTAGTCAATTAAGTTTTTAAAGAGGGACTTTTAACCAAATTTCCTTATATTCTTCCTAAAGCACTCTAAGGGTTTGTCTGATATGAGGGAAATAGAGAAGAGGCTAGGAAGAAAAATTTTGATGAGCTTGGCATAAAAAAATTGAATAAGTAGGATTAATTAATTTTTATTACTCTTTTATTTTATATTTTGTTAACCCTATTTTGTTAATTTTTTAAATCGAACTCGTGAAAATTTTTCTTTCCCTCTAGTTCCCTTCATTTTCCTCTTATCAAACATAGCGTAAGCATTTTTTTTTTTAATTTCCTTACTCCCCCTCTTTCTTACTTAATTATTCTTTAAAAAATATGAATAAAATTAATTTAAAAAATAATAATAAATGTGCGAAATAAACGTTCTATATAATATCAATAACAACTCAACTCTCTGATTAAGTAGTATAATTAAGCATAGGACGAGTGTATTGGCGAAAATCATCAACAATATCCTCGGTCTTCGCTATTATCATATATTATTTTTATATATACAAAAGAGGGTAAGATACAAATGGTAGTTGTTTCTTATTAAAAAGGATTGAGAGAATAATATATATTAAATATGAATAAAATTAAAAATTTGTTAAATTTTAAGACAAAATTAATAAAATTTAAAGTTTTTGTTGATTATGTAAAAATTAATAGAAATGACTTATAAATAAGACTATATGAGTATACTTAATACTAAATTCAACTCTCAAATTAGTTGCTATTTTAGATATCATAGAAAAAACTATCTTTTATTTTAAATATAAGATCTACTTTGATATACTAGAAAAAAATCTTATCAAATATTTTCATATAAACTGAAATAAAATTTTTTCATATTAAAATTATTTTTAAAATTTTAATCTAAACACCCCTTAATTAAATTTTTATGAGAAAAACGGAAGGACGAGGACATTTTAGCATTTCTCCTTTTTCGGTTTCTGGCGACGACAAGGACTGAGAACGCACAGAGCCCTTGAATGGCTTCGTTATAACACTGTTTTGATTTATAACTTAATTAATTAATTTAAATAAATTAAAAGTATTAATTTAATTAGTTAATATGTTTTTTTTAAATATTATAAGTATTATTTTAATTCATTTCCTTTCTCTCTTTCCTACTTAATTATCTTTGAGAAAATATTAATTTAAAAAAAATAATAAATATATGAAATAAATCTTATAAATAAAACTAATATTAACTTTTCATCAAGAGTTTTTTTTCGAGCTTCTTCCTTTCTCCTTCCCTCTTCCTTATCAACAATATCCTCGGTCTTCGTTATTATCTTATTATCATTATTCAATTATTGAGTCAATTTTAGCCGGGCGTCTAGTTTCCTCTTAAAATATTTTTTTAAAAAAAATTTATGTAAGTTTTTTTTTTCCATATACTTACCGTGAAATCTACACACCCTTGATATTAATTCTCATGATTTTTATTCTTTCTTCTTAGTATAAAAATTTGTTTGACTTTCATTTTAATCATAAATATAAGACATCAATCTACTTTATCTCTCGTATTTATTTATTTTTTTAAATAGTCATAGTTCTAATCGGTACTTATAAATTAAAACACCAGCCACGTCAGACGTCACCCCCACCTTCATCCCTCTTTTTATACTGCCCGAGCTCGCCTGTGTTAGTGGGAGAGCAAGTTCTTCTTCTTCCATCGTCTTCCTCCTTTAGCTATGGAAGATCTTAGGCCAAGTACTGCGAATTCTCCCCCTCTCACTCCTTTGGGTTTTCTCGATAGAGCTTCCACTGTCTATGGTGACTGTACTTCTATTATTTATAACCACACCACTTTCACTTGGTCCCAAACCCACCGCCGGTGTCTCCAATTAGCTTCCTCTCTTTCCTCCACCGGAATCCGTCGAGGTCATGTCGTCTCCGTCGTCGCCCCCAACATCCCTGCTATGTATGAACTCCATTTCGCAGTTCCCTTCACCGGCGCCGTCCTCAACAACATCAATGCCCGCTTGGACGCTCGCACCATCTCCGTCATCCTCCGCCATGGTGAATCCAAACTTGTGTTCGTTGATTGCGTCTCACGCGCTCTGGTTCTTGAGGCCATCTCCTTGTTGCCTCGGGAGATTCAACGGCCTACTCTTATCCTCATCACTGACGACTCAGTGGGACCCACATCATTGGAGGGATTCTTCGACACCTACGAGGGGTTGCTGGCGAAGGGCAACCCGAATTTCCAGTGGATCCAACCTGAAAGTGAGTGGGATCCGATGATCTTGAATTACACGTCCGGTACAACTTCGGCTCCGAAGGGGGTGGTTCATTGCCACCGAGGGACGTTCGTCATCACGGTCGATTCTCTGATTGACTGGGCCGTTCCCAAACAACCGGTCTACCTGTGGACACTGAATATGTTCCACGCTAATGGGTGGAGCTTCCCGTGGGGGATGGCAGCCGTCGGAGGAACCAATATCTGCGTCCGAAAATTCGATGCCGCCACCGTGTTTAAGCTGATCGAACGCCACGGCGTCACACACATGTGCGGCGCACCGGTGGTGCTCAACATGCTAACAAACTCCCCAACAAACAAACCTCTAAGAAGCCCAGTTCAAGTCCTCACGGCGGGAGCGCCGCCACCAGCAGCGGTGCTGCTTAGAACGGAAGCGTTAGGATTTGTGGTGAGTCACGGGTATGGGTTGACAGAAACCGGCGGATTGATGGTTTCGTGTGCGTGGAAGCCTGGGTGGAGCAGGCTGCCGGCGACGGAGAGGGCAAGGTTAAAGGCGAGGCAAGGTGTGAGAACAATTGGGTTGGCGGAGATGGACGTGGTGGATCCGGATTCGGGTAAAAGCGTGAAACGAGACGGGTCAACCCTTGGGGAAGTGGTTATTCGGGGCGGATGCATCATGTTGGGTTACTTGAAAGACCCAGATGCAAACTCCAAATGCCTCAAGAATGGCTGGTTCTACACCGGAGATGTTGGAGTTATGCATGCAGATGGGTACTTAGAGATTAAAGATCGATCCAAGGACGTGATTATAAGTGGGGGTGAGAATCTGAGCAGCGTGGAGGTGGAATCGGTTCTGTACAGCAACCCGGCGGTGAACGAGGCGGCGGTGGTGGCGAGGCCGGACGAGTTCTGGGGAGAGACGCCGTGCGCGTTCGTGAGCCTGAGGGAGGGATTGGAGAAGAAGCCGACGGAGAAGGAGATAATGGAGTATTGCAGAGAGAGGATGCCACGCTTCATGGTGCCCAAGACGGTGGTGTTCAAGGAGGATCTTCCCAAAACATCTACCGGTAAGATTCAAAAGTACGTTCTGAGAAAGGAAGCCAAAGATATGGGAAGCTTGAAGCGCAGCAGATTATGATGATGAGAACAAGATCGTTAACGGGTTGTCTGGCAAGAACTTTAAAAAAGTATTTTTTTAACAAAATAAGTTAATCTTCTTCAGAAAGTTATTTCGTATATTATAAAAACATTTCAAATTAAAACTATGATCGGTTTCTAACTATACAACCGTGGAGCAACAAAGAAGCCAGCATGGGATTGACTTGAACAGGATAAGATTTGAGGATAAGATTTGATGTTATATATGACGAGAAATATAATATAATGGGGAAGGATCCAGTGTGGGTACTATCTATGGCTAAGTTGCTCTTATTCTTATCTAAATTTCTGGGATGGAATAATTCTTTTTTTATGCCTTTTGTTTTTTTTATCCCTCGTCGGTGCAAATCCAAGCTAACCCAATTAAGTTCAACTACAACTATATGATATAGAGACGTCTTAATTTTAATTACCAGATTTGTCTTTAAGCTGAGAATACCCAAAATGAGAGTTCTGTGATTTTCAGATACAGTACATGGCAGAACAAAAATTTATCATTGTTTGATTTGAAACGTAATAATCAGGCGTGAAAAGAAAAGTAGTTTAGGATTGTACTGAAACAGAAAATTAATAAAGGAAACGTGTTTGTTCATATGCATTTATAGTCTTGTACTGTTAAGATTTTAGAGATCTTCAGATCTTGAAGGTGCCTTGCGTTTCACAATGGGAAAATAGCCAAAAAAAAAAAAAACCGCTCAAATAGAAAAATTACATATAGAAACCGGTTTATAAGAGTTATTATCAAAATCCATACTAATATTGTAGGAGTCTTTATTTATAAACTTTTTTTTAGGGTTAATACAAATTTTAGTCCTTCAAATTTGGTCCCAATTTGGTATTAGTCCCTGAAATTTAAAACGTGTGGTATTGGTCCCTGAAATTATATCCGTTTTAGATCGTTGATCCCTGGCATCTTAGCACCGTTAAATTTTGCTGACGTGGCGTTGACACCGTTAAATTGATGAGTTGGTATATGACCTGGACATGATATTGGTCCCTCAGATTTGGGGCCATTTTGGTGTTGGTCCCTGAAATTTAAAACTGATGGTATTGATCCCTCAAATTATATCTGTTTCTGACCTTTGGTCCCTGATAGCTTTAGGCCCTCCTCTTTTTATCTGTTCCTGTAGAACCCTCTGCTTTGCTGTTATCTGGTCTCAGCGGCTCTAGTGGCTTGCTGGTCGTGCCTGCCTTTTTGTTGGAGTTGCTAGTGAGGTTCTTGTTGCTTTTTCTCAAGCTTCTTACTCTAGTAATGGTCTTCTCTTTTTTCTTGGGAGGCTCATCATCGTCTGTACTAGAAGAAGATGGCTTCAATGGGAGTGGTTTTGTATCTGAAGCCGGCTTCTTCTTCTCATGAACTGTTAAGTCACCTTTTTGCTCAAAGGTAGCAGATGAGATAGAAGGTTTAGCTGAGAATACACTGCGTTTCCTCCACACTAATTGAGGATTAGAAGCTCTGTGTTTTGACAAAAGTGAATCCCAGATTGCATAGATTCTCTTTGACCATATCCTTCCATTGCTCATGCCACATCATCAAGTTTTAGTTGCCAAGTCAAATGCCATATCATAAGTTAACAAAGTTAGAGCCAACTCAGACAAATTTGACGTCGTAAAGCTATCACGAACCAACGGCCAGAAACAGATATAATTTGAAGAACTAATACCATCTATTTTAAATTTCAGGGACCAATACCAAAATGGCCTCAAATTTGAGGGACCAATACCATGTCCAGGTCATATGGCAACTTATCGGTTAACGGTGTTAACGCCACATCAGCAAAATTTAACGGTGCCAAGATGTCAGGGACTAACGGTCTGAAATGGACATAATTTCATGGACCAATACCACACGTTTTAAATTTCAGGGATCAATACCAAATTGGGTCCAAATTTGAGGGACCAAAATTTGTATTAACCTCTTTTTTTTTTATTTCGACAATCTTTTTTTGCTATTGTCCCTTTCATAATTTTATGCTGTTCAAATACGATTTAGTTAGGTTGTTTATCACCCCTCCATCTTAAAATTGAGTAGTACAAATGTTAACTCTTGTTCTTAATATAAGAGTTAGTTGATTAATTTGAGCATATTAAAAAAACTAGTTAAGTTAATTATTTGTAATAAGTACGTGTTTGTCTTTCTTAAAATATCTTTGCTAATAAAGTGTAGTGGCTAAAGATATCATTATTATAAGGACTATTTTAGAAAAAAATAAATAAATACGAGAGACAAAGTGAATTGGGGTCTTATATTTAGAATGAAATATTATATTAAGGACAAGAGGTAATATAATTTTATATACTTTTCATCATTTGTTATTTTAATAAGTATATAATGAAAATAAAGATGATTTTTAGCTATCCAAAAATGGTCCCGTAGCATTTCTCTATCTACGGTTTTATTATATTTTTATCATTTGCATTTTAGAGTTCAAATCAATGAACCAATTCTATTTTCCAATGTTCGTGGGGTGAAATGGCGTGGAAATAAAATAAAAATAAAAATAAAATAACATTAAATCTATATCATCCAATTTTGATTAGTACTGGGAAAACGGGCCGGCCCGGCCCTGCAGGGCCGGCCAGTGACGGGCTCGGGCTTAAACGGGCCGGCCCGTTTAAACCCGAGTTTAAAAAATAAGTCATTTTTTCAAGCCCGGCCCGTGAGATGACGGGCTCGGGCTAGCCCGCGGGCTTTTGGTCTTTTTAATTAAAATAATTTTTTTATTTTTTTGTATATTTTATCAAAATAATAAAAATGAAACAATAAAAATTACTAATAAAAGGTATAAATATAAATAAAATTGAGTCACAAATATAAATATTATCATGTCTAAACATATATTACAGTATAATAAAGTCTATTGAATAAACAAACTAAATAGAGGACAAATATAAACAACTAAATAAGCATTAAGTTCAGTAGATAATTACAATGCGGATGATCTAGTTTGATTATAAATAATTAACAAAAAAGTTTAACTAACAAACATAGTATGCATAAAGAATAATCATTTATCATACCGACAAAAAAGAAAAGAGTCCATCATTCTTAGTTCTAAATTTGCTTCTACTATAAAAATAATATAGATCTTTATTTTAGTTTAAAAGATTTTTTGATCAATTATATTTCAAGTATAAAAAATATGGGAGAATGATAAATAAAGACTGTAAAAATTATAGATACAGTATTTTAATAGGTTTTGACAACTTATAAAAAACAATATATTTTTATGAATATACTAGTTTTAAATTTTGCAATTTTCATGTTTTTTTGGTTATTTTTCCCACAACTATAGTGATTCTTTTTTTCTTTTTGTGAATGCTATCTATGTGAGCTGCCAAGATAAGTAAAACTAAGAGTATGCTATGTTTAAAATGTTAGGGTTTTCTTTTTTAAGTTAAGAAAAAAAGACAAAAATTAAAAAATAATAATTTGGCGGGCCTAAACGGGCCGGCCCGTTTATTTTTCGGCCCTACAGGGCTAGCCCTTTTAAGCCCGACTTCCCTTTCAAGACTCCAAAATACAAGCCCGGCCCTTGACTTAAACGGGCTTAAACGGGCTCGGCCCGACGGGCTCGGCCCGTTTTCCCGGCTCTAATTTTGATTTGAATGGTTAATTAGTTTAGATGCCTTATGATTGGATTGAAATTCAATCCATCTAAGGCACCAAAAAATAGTTTTTTTTTTTAACTCAAAGCATCATCAAGTTATTTTAATTTGAATTTGAAACTACTTTCTATTCGGTCATAAGAGTGAAGGTCAAACTCTTTTATATTATCTTTTTATTTAGATTTAAATATAATTTATGTTTAACCAAAAACATTTGTTTTTGTGGGGTTGGAGCATGTGAATAGATCTCACAAGTCTTCAAAAGTATGAGTGATAAAACGGGCGGATTAGCTTAGGAGCAGACAATGGGGGTTTAAAAGACCCTACGTAGCGGGGTTGGCTTTTAGGTCCGCCAACTATTATTTTTATTTTTTAATTTTTAATTTTTTTTATACATATAAGTATTTTTTTAAAATTTTTTAGATATGATGTAAAATATAATAATATAATGACAATAATTAATAAAATTAAAAAAATATGGGTTAACCCACGAGTTAAAGAACTAACTCGTCACGGATTGTAGGTTTTAACAAGTGTCATTTTTTGTTAGAGTTGGTTTTTAACCAATCATAACATTTTATTTTTAATGGGTTGACAAATTAAACCCGTAAATCCAACTCATATCATGAGCTTTATTTAAAAGCAGATTAATGGTGGGATTTCATCGAATCCGGATTAGGCTGCAAGACCGCGTTGTCTTTAAAAAAAGTAAATGGCATCCCATCCCATTACTTTGTGTTTGATTATGGCAATCTCTTGTTTTCCGACTTATCAAAAAAAAAAATAGCAATCTCTAATTTTAATTTTTTTATGACAAAAACAAACTAAAATCACGGCCAAGTGATTATCCAACAAAATTTTCCTGATAATTCATTTTTAAAATGCCATGCTAATTTGAGTGAAATTAACCACAAAGAGAGTGTTTGGCAACTTCCAAACTATGATTTTAGAAGCATTTTTTTACAAGACGAGACAAATTCCTCTACATATTTACTTTGTAAACCATAAAAACACTTTTGAAACTATGGTTTGGTTTATATCTAAACACCTCCAAAAATAAATTTGATTTCGTTTTTATGTTTTGTCAGGATTTGATTATAGAATCAACATTAAAATTTAAATTTACTGAGTGAACATTTTTCGTTAAAAGAAATCAACGATACTAAGATTAAGAAAAATTAAAAATAAATTTTATAAATTGAAGGATTAAAAAGTAAATACCCAATGCATACTTTATTAAAAGAAAAAAAAAAAAAAAAAGATACCCACGCAACTCACGTTGTCTTTCTCATTGGTTAAGTTAAAAACTCTTCCATCGACGTCATATGGGTCTGATGTGATAGGACGACAGATGGCAGGCCAGAGATTAAAGAGAGCATCGGCACCACAAGTTAAGAAAATAATTACAGTGGCAGGAAATAATTTGGGAAAAAAAGCCAAACACAATTTTAATAATTTAAATTTAAAATTTTTAAATAAAACAATTATTTTTTCAAAACCTTACTGTTAAGAGGTTATATTTATTTTGGATCATGCATGAAAAATATTTTTCAAAAAATTAAAATTAAAAAATTAAAACCTTAACTATTTATATTAAATTTGAATGGTTAGGATTTACCGACCATCATAGTACTCATTAATACAATAATGACCGAAATTGATTCTGTACGATAATAATGTGACCTGTCACTTGCCCTCTTTTAAAAAATTGATTTGTCCTTT